CTATGCAAAGCTTAAACAGTCATAGAAACGCTTAAATTCCGTGCCGTTAAGACTTTAAAGTGTACCTTTTTTCAAAATAGGAAATGCAACGTCATTTTGTAAATGAAATTGTCTTACCAGGAACACATGTAGTTACATATCTTGCATATTTATCTAAGAGTGTTGCATTCAGTTCGTCATAATACTTTTGTTACAACTAAAATTGATAACAAATCACTTTAAGTTCTCAATATATGTAAAAGCATAGTCACATTCTATAAACAGATTGTGGTATTTGATAATGATATGGTTGACACATTTGAATTATAGTTTGATGATGACTTTATCTGGTTATAAGACATTTAAATCTCATACCATGTCACTTGTATTGTTTGCCTCATTACAAAATCAAAATAATGTAACTTCGAGAAATAATGATTAAAGAGTAATTTGTTATTGCTATGAACTATTTGAGGAGTTGTTTGTGTATTCTTTTATTGCTAAAAAAGTGAATCACAATATTTACGTAAAATTTTAAAAAGTTGCCCCGTACATTCAATCAGGGATGTTATATTCCCGATCCGTAAAGATCGTTCAGCACGACATAATTGTTCTGTAGTATTATAGTTCTTTCTATTCGGCATCTTTCCTGTTGGGTTGTTCCAGTATTTCTAACTTGAATTACTTTGAATTACCCTTAGGATATGTCGACTGCTTTTAAAATTTGTCTTTTGACGTCATATCTGTGATTTGCAGGCTTCATAATCTCAGACCCCTTTCAAAATTCCATTTTATTTACTTCCACCCAAAGTTTCCTCGTAAAGGGCACATGCATTTTTTTACTTGGGGATCATATGTCGCTTTTCATGGAATGGCACTAACGTGTCACATTGAAGATTCAATAATAACCGCCATAGGAGCATATCTGCGGATGTTTCAAAATTCTAGATTTTACCTGTTCATGTTAAATGTTGAATTCTGCTTAAGCCGATGCTAGGGCGTGGATGGTAGTTGCACTTGACTGTTTCGTCCATGAACACGCTCAATCAAACCGAGCCTGCAACATTTTCAATTTTGCCGTGTTGGACTTCCTTTAGGGATTCTTATTTCTCTTTATTTTACGCAAAATGAATGGAATGTTATTATAGTGCCAAACTAATATTTTAGATATTACAATTAACTTAATTCTAAGATGATAACTGACCCATTTTTTGAAAAGCAGATGCTATGGTAGCCATATTGTGAACGATTAAATTAGATTGAGTGTATACTGTTGTCTTATAGTTGAAAGATGGGCTCCAGTTTTTTTTTTAAACAAAATGACTTGCTCTTCTCTTACTTTTATCAAACATCATATTTTCAAGTTTGTTGAAAAGAGCTGTATGTTTTGTATAGATTAGGTTTCTCATTGATCAAGATGTATTACTGATAAGCCCAGTCTACTTACCTCATATATACATGTCAAACTCTGTACCAAATCAGTAAACCAATACAACATAATATTGTGTCATAAAGAAATGTGCGTAATAGTATGATACTTTCATTGCTGGTAATGTTTTGTTTGTCTATCGTTTCGTTGAAGTGACAATTCTGTTATCATTTTATTATTTTTATGCCTCTACAAAGTGGGAGCATATAGCGTTGCACTTGTCCGTCCGTCCATCCGTCCGTACGTCCCGAAATCTTGTGAACGCAACTCCTCTTAAACTGGATTGCAGATTGTGCTTAAACTTCTTGGGATGAACAACCTTAATGTGTAGATTGTAGTAAAGGAAGGAATTTTTGCTGCGACCAAATTTTACAGAATCATTGCCCTTTGTTGATTTTTTCACTATATACCATATATATGTTGTCAGTGGGGGCATCCGTGTCCTTTGGACACAGTTCTAGTTTGACCTGCAATCAACACTTGATGTTTTCATTGCCATACTGATAAAGTAATAACAATGACATATATGGCACGAATTAGAAATGAAACATGTAATTAAATAATAAATGTGTACGTTTGAAAAGCAGCAAAACTTCTAATAAAATGTTTATTTCTATTAAATATCATTAACCTGTCTGTTCGATGTACAATATTTCTAAAAAACTGCAACTGCGATCTTGTAGTCACAGACAGGATGGTTTTATATTTTATACATCTTGCTCATTAATAAATAAAGAAGAAACTCTGAACAAAATACTTAAATTGCTTTACAATTGTAAAAAGGATTGTTCATTAATTTTGGCTTTGTATTTGTTTACAGCTCATACTTTAGGTCAAACGGTGTTAAAACAAGAAGGACATTGGATGTGTCAAAATTGCCTCACCTGCTGGAGCAAAGAAATGCATAAAATCCAATCACTCGAACCAATTTAGCCGGTTATTTCGATTACGCAGGGATAAACGGCGGCTGCAAATCACAAAGGCAAACCCTTAGTTGAAAGGGCATTCATGCAATGTAATGTTTATTTTAATACAATAGTTTGAAGTTAAAATAATGTTAGTATATATTTGTTTATAATTATCACAAGAAAATAAAAAAAAACATAACGTTTCGTCGCATGCAGTGGTGAAAGGACTTACCGCAATTCGCGCTGAATAAATTATCTGTCACTTCAGTGACAGGTCGTTATCGAAGGCGTTTGTTTCATGTGTCTATTTTTGAATAAAAAACAATAACCCACCAGCTGTCTTTATTGGTCGTCCAATGTTTTACCTGTTGCACAAAATGAAAACAATAATATCAAAGATATTAATATGTTCTTGTAATTAAGTCGTGTAGGTGGGGGAATGCATTATAATGTCTTTTTAATGACAATTTAATGACACGCAGACGAGAAATGTGGCAAATGCGGGATACTACTATGACAGCCTGTCGTCTGGGAATGCTTAATTGTCTTGAATATAAATGTACTCGAGCTTTTGGCATAGTTTTTACTGTGTTTTTCATTAAAGTTGAATTTTAGCTGTGTCAACTCTCCATGTTGTATTGCGTGCAATGGATATGTCACCGTCAAAGATTTCCGTTTTGAATTCTATGATCTCGTACAGGGTCGTGATACAGTATATCAAGTAAGGATGATTTGGCTCAGTTCCATCAAAATACTAAATGATAGTTGTATACTGATTCACATTAAGATCAACTAACATAGCGTTTGGCGCGATATGACCAGTGATGTGATACTTACAGATAACTGAACTATACTTGACGTGTAATTATTGTTGAATACATTAACCCATGAAAAAGCTTTAAGCCACTATCATTAATTTTGTAAGAAATATTTTATTTTTTGCTTCTGTATGACTGCAACATTACAGTCTGTGTTAAGTACCAAATGTTAATGGAGGACACGAAAAAAGTATTTTACTCAATATTTTTTCAAATGCTCAAAGGTGTTTAAACGAGTAGTATATATCATTTCTAGAAAAATGAATTCTTTGCAGAGGAATAAACGTAAATAATTGATTAGAATTGCATAAAGGTTTTACCAAATCTGTTCATGAGAAATAAAAGTGCAATATTTCGATCATTGTTTACACACAAAATATTAAACCTGGTGCGACCAAATTGCCAGAGCTCTCTTATTCATCTTGTTGTTGTTGTTGTTGTTTTGTGAAGTTTTGATTTTTGAAGTCATTCACGTTTCTTTCAATCCAATATTTCAGGTACTACCGGGCATTAGAGTAAAACCACCTACATTCCATAAAAAAGCCAGCTAGACACTTTTAATTTCTATTCTCTAACTGAAAGAAGCCAATGTCCTGGTGCGTTTTGAACCAATAACGTCACTACGGAGAGGTATTGGGGTAAATGTTGACGATTGATCTACCTACGAGCATTTTCAAATCAATATGTTTTGTAACAGGAAATAAAAGTTATCACGGTTTAAGGAATAAGAACATTTACAAATAAGTTACACAGGTTTTTCGTTTTATCAGACTTGCTGCCAACAGGAACCAGTCCTCTTGTTCTGTCACGACTTGTAGAATGTGGCACACTGTCTTCTGTAGAATACACATTTTTCCGCATAGCTTCAAGAGCCCTCAACAAACCCCTGACAGTCATATACCATCTTCATCTTGGATTGCTGAAATTATAGTACTTTTCCTCAAAAATATCTCAGATCATATTTGTTTTATTACATGTATTACATTGTATTTTTATTTCGAAAAGGCAGACAAATATCTTTTAATGTGAGCTAATGGACCTTTTTGGCTTTCGTACATTTGTTAAGCAGGATATGTCGTCACAGAAATAACAGCAGAAGCTAACAACGATCTCTACTTGTATCAAAACATGAACAAATTGGTTTTATCGGTACATATTGTGATTTTGTATGTTTGATATTATTAGAAAAGATGTACCAGAAATGAAGCGCAAAAAGTAATATAAATGAAATATTTTGAATATGTGTAATCGCTTTAGGTTTTGCAAAACGCATTTGATTGAATTGAAAGCATATAATTCCTCAGAAATCTATAAAATTTTACTTCTCTCGAAAAAGTATATACGAACCCTTAATTAATATGGTTAAGAACATGATACCAGGAAAAAAGCACTTATTCGAGAAAATATTTGAAAATGTAATCAAGTGGTAGCTTGACTTCCCTTTCCAGTGAAATATTTAATCACAATAAATGTGCTTATCGCTATAAAGCAACGGAAGAAGAGATGGTTAAGAAAATTTCCTATGCATATATTCTTTTTAAATTTAAACAGTACACAAAAAAGTATATTAAACAGAAATTATTTTTTTTTTATGTCATAATTTGTCTATATTGGTTGCTTAAGTTTAAAGAATAAAGATGTACACCGTTTTCGTAATACTAACACATAAATGATATCTAACATAACAGAAGTACAACCATTGTATACGCACCGGTCTCAAATATCGACCTGTGTCTTACGACGCATTACTCATCCCAAATGAGGGTAAAAATGACTCCGACATAAAGAAGTCCGCATATGGATGACGATTTTATTTAATAAAACATAATATATAACAATAAGTGATTAAATGTGTTAATTGCTTCTAAGGGATCACTGTTTTCTAGATTTTAATATTGCAAGTGCAATTGATAGCTAGACTGTGTTACTATTTATTCAAATATTCAAAACAACTTTCACTTTCGGTTTTAAACTAACAATGGACGAAATACTGTCACGCGTGTTGAATGATATTGGGTTTGTAAAACCACTAAAAGATTGCCAGAAAGAGTGTTTGACGCATGTTTTGTGTAAACGTGATGTACTGGCTATTTTGCCTACAGGGTATGGGAAAAGTTTAATTTTTCAAGTGGCACCATTTGCGTTAAAAGTCAAGTATAATCTGGTTTCTTCAGTATGCATAATTTTGACACCCTTGAACAGCATCATGATGGACCAGATTAATTCATTGAAAAAACAAGGAATAGATGCATGCTGGTTAGATTTTGATTGTCAAAGTGGCCAGGCCCTAGCCGACGATATTTCTGATGATGAGGAGGACACAGTTCCACAGGGTCAAGGTGTTGTTATTAATGTGCCTTTAGAGGACATCATTACAGGAAAATTCACTTTGGTATATGCTCACCCAGAGGCGCTTCTCAGCACCGGTAAAGGGACATACTTATTAAGTGCAATGGAACGAAAGAGCATTATTTCATGCATAGCTATTGATGAAGCACACATGATACTTGAATGGTAATTTCTTTAAATGTTCATTTATATCAGTGTATGCTTAGCAGTTTCCAGTTATAGACAATTACTAAATTATATAACTTTTTGGTTATATCCTAGATTAGACCCCTTATCCCGAGCCCTCTAAACAAGGAGTTATTAATGCATATGTATGTATGTCTATTCCATGACTAGAAGCACTAGCATAGTGTCTTGACTATATTTTGAGCCAAGTTGTTGTGTCTATGCATTACATTTGTAACAAAAAGTATTTCAGGGGTAGTGTACTAGGATGGGACTTGAATTCATGACTGTCTATAAGTAAGTGTTAGCACATAATTCCAAGCTTTTGTGGTGTCATAAACTACACATCTTTCCCGACTATTTGTATATGCCTGGTCTAGGCATAATTGCCTTATATTTTCACATATCGGATTGGTGGCCCTCGTCTCAATCCCGGAGTTATGAGTGCAACCCTTTATTCTCCAACATACATGTATCCGTTTGTTCATATGATATTACTAAATACAGATCTTTCTTTGTATTTGAACAAGAAAGAATAATTAGTGTTTCATATTGTAAGTACGTAACTTGATTGTGTCCTCTTGGTGGGCATGTATGTGTCTTGCACTATGGGTCACTAACCAATACCAACAGTCTACGGACAAGCTTGACAAATTGAAATGTCTCATTGTGAATATAAAGAAACCAATCCGAAGAAACATGACTGAAATTGTTTGTTGGTTTAATTACCTCATACCTTTACTTACAGTATGACAATGCTCCACAATGTTTCACTTATTAAAAAACTGACCAGCATTAGGACTAGTTAAAGCTGCATGCCTCCAGTTGAGCTAAAATATTTCAAGAAATTCAATCTCTAGAAAAATGTATTAAGATCATAAGATCATAAGAAAAGTAAAAAGATTCAATATTTAATTAATTATTTAGATTTTATGTGTGATTAAATACTGATTTCACAGTATCAATCACTAAAATTTTATTCCGAAACTAACGTAGTAGGAGATATATATGTATATTTTGACCTCTTTAATTGGTAATTTACCTGGATTTGTAAGTGTGGTTTGTAATGTGTAAATCATTTTCTTTGTTCACTTCACAGTATTTTACTTTAAACACTGTTCTGGAATTGTTAATTTAATTGTAATAAAATCTATAACACAGTAGCATTTCTTGCACATTTAATTTTTGTACCTCTACATTGTATGTTGTACCAAAGCAGCAGAAATAATATACAAATATTACAAATATTATTTAAATATATCAATGATAATATCTAATAAAAATATTCTTAACTGAGTAAAAATATCTGGTGATAAATAATAGTAACAGCTGTATACTTTAAACGATGGTAACATGACACAAGTCTGCTTTTTGCATATTATAATGTACTGCATTGTTAAATTGATTAAAATAGCTCAAGACTTTATTGACTCAGGGGAACAAGTTTTGACTGTTTCACAAATGCACATTTATACTCTCCCAGAAATGGTAGTTTGTGTACATCTAAAAATGTACTGTTACCAAAACATAAAATTGCACCAAAGTTTTATGTTACTATCAATCTAGAAAACTTATAAAGAAATTACAGCTTAAATTCCCAAGTTTGGACCCTTTTATCCAACTATATTTTAAAGCAAATGTAAATTTTATCTATATACTTGCAACATAATTTGCACATGTATTAAATTACATATTAGGTCAGCTAACTTCATGGCAATTGCTTACACAACATTGTTGTATATTCTATAAAAAAGTATAATTGTAAATAGTTACAGTGATGATTATGTAGATCCATGTTAATATTACAGGAACAAAATAGTATTTGAGGCCACACTTAAAAAACATATCCAGTTATACTGTGTGCCTAACTGAAAACTTTTGAGCAATTTACATCCAGAAGTGGAGCTGACGACAGTTTGATTAAATTATTTGAGTAACTTGATAATATAAACCTTTGCAAAATTTCCGTTGTTTTTTTTTTTAGCTTGAACTGCATAATATTACAAATTAACCATGTTAACATTCATAAAATGTTTTAGGTATTGATACAAGTTGACAAAACTTTTAGACTTTTGCCTAATTTTTCCAAGACAATTTTTGCCTATTGCCTGTTTATTGTTTTTGAACTTGATTTATATCAAGTTTGTTAACAGCTCTTCTACTATGCCTAATGACAAATTCCTTTAGTTTAAGCTTGTCAACGTCCCCAATAATATTGGCTGAAAGTTTCTTAAATGAATCCATTTGTCTACTTTTGTTACCCTTAAAGGGTCTTAAAGCTCTTAGCTTTGTGCCAAGAACAAGCAAATCCTCTGTCAAAGTTTTTGGTTTCTTATTTTTTTTTCTGCCCTCTGTTTTGAAGTCCACTAACTAGCTCACTAACAACAGGTGCAGCCTTCGACACTCGCATCATCGCTTTAATGTGTTTTTCCAGCACCCAGTCCCCTTATCACATGCTTAACCAGTTTTATGTTGTTTTCTTGTTGCATATCTGCAGGTTTATTTTTCCCTGGTCTACCTTTACGATTCACAAGTAATCCTAGTTTTACCCTCACACTATCATATTCAGACAGATAACATTCTGTTTTAGTCAGAAAATCAACACATTCAATGGCATACTTTGATTTATATGATGACAAACCAATGAAAAGTGGAATAAATCTTTTCATTAGCACACTTATCATGTCTATGTCACCAGCCTTGATAACTTCACAGAATAAAATGAAGTCTACAGCAACCCGACATAAGCTAGTGCTATATTTCTGAACATCATCGTCAATTTCTTCAACATTTTCTACTTGTGTAGGGACTTTGATCTGAATGTTACCACCTGAAATTATTTTGAAAAAGTACAGTCATGTACATTATAAATTAAACTAAAAGGACCAAAGTTCTTTTTTGTTTATATTAATTCTAAAGCTTAATCAAGGTAAATTCTTTCTATGAGGTAAATGAGACATACTACAATTGTAATATCTTAATAAGTATTTTTAAGATATTGTTTTGACTTTTTAGGATAATGCTACTACTGAATAATAATGTGATTTTAAGATTATCTATTGCCTGCCTATGCTTCATATAACTTTTTAAGTATTTTATGTTTTATGATGATAACTTACCATTCAGCTGGAGCTGGATGGTTTTTCCTGCATATTCCACAGGAATGGTAACATGGTATGATGAGCACTTGTGCCTAATGAGGAATTGTCTGTCATGTGGAGCTGAGAATGTACACATGATTTTATCAATGATAGGGCTGACTTTCTTTTCAAACCAACTTTTTTTGCTAGCAGACGTCATGTCTTGAAGGTCAGCTGGCAGCATAACACTTATGTCATCTGGTTGTTGTAGCTGAAGTATTTCACAAGTCATCTCCACTATCAATGCTCTGAAACAGTAGTATACCTATTAATGTGCAATCTTATCTTAGGTTCTGTACAAATTGGGTTACTTCCTGTACTGCCCTAATGCAAAGAATTTATACAAAAAGTATATTATAAAATTAAAGTAATGAAGACCTATAGGGTGGCTGTCAGAATGTCTATACATAAGTTTTAAAGTAAAGTAAGTTAATGTGAACATTTGATATTACTTAGCATTTAGAAAGGGAATTTACCTTGTTACAGTTAAAAGGAAGTCCTTGTGTGCCTCATAACCATTAGCTTTCACCTGACCATTTACATTAGTTCTGTGGAGAACTGCACGGAAGTTGGCTAGGGAACCAGCTTCTCTGGCAGTGTCAGTCTTATAAAATGTGTTAATGATTTTCTGAAAATATTAAATATGTATATATACATATAATAATATATTGATTACAATAACAATGTTTATTTCAGGGGGAATGATTTTCGTAAAGATTTCAGCAAGATTGGTTCAGATATCCTGGCAAGGTTTACAGACATTCCTGTTATGGTTTTCACTGCTACGGCTTCCCCTGATGCCCAGACAAAAATCTGCAAGAGTCTTCAACTAAAGAATCCTAAAATAGTGTCTATGAACCCTGACAGAACAAACATAAAATACACAAAGATAGAAAGACCTCCATCCTCAAACACTCAGGATCATTTAGATGAGATCCTTGAACCTATGGTAAACCAGCTGTTAGAAGAGAAAGACAATTATCCACTAACTATATTTTACACTGACACCAATGTTATCAGTTATGCATATGCATATTTTGAAAAAAAAATGGGAAAATTCCAGTACTTGGCAGAAAACATCCCAGAAAATAGACTTTTTGCTCAATACCATACAAACTACACTGAAAAGATGAAAAAATTCATTGTTCAAGAATTAGGAAAAGAAAAACCAAAGATGAGAGTTGTTTTCGCTACTGTGGCATTAGGCATGGGACTTAATGCACCACACATAAGGGTTGTTATCCACTACAAGCCTCCTACATCAATAGAAAAATACTTCCAAGAAACTGGAAGGGCTGGTAGAGATGGCCTCCCTAGTAAAGCCATTCTGTACTATAACAATACAGACATTCGTAAAAATAGACCAGGAATTCAACAAAATATCATAGAGTACTGTAAAAATGACTCAAATTGTTTAAGAGAAGTTATGCTGAAAACATTTGCAGTCAAAAAGAGTGAAAATATTGAAGATTGTTGCTGCATTTGTGATAAGGATAAGTGATTGTGAATAATTACCTCAAGTAAATCCTGTTGAACATGAAACAATTCTTCTATGACTGGAGTGAAATGTTCCAGACGCTCTGTTCGAGTGTGAGTGCCAGCTCTAAGATATCGTGCTGAGTCAAATGTCACACGTGTCAGCTGGTCCCCACCCAATGGAATGGTTGCTATTTTCTCAAACTCTTCACCTAAATTCAGATTAGTGTAAACAATCTTTAAAAATGTTCTGTGTAACATTTATAATAATAAAAGTTATATTTTATATTCAAAGTAAAGTATCATTTGAATAATAAAAGTAAAGCTTGATAGTTTGAGATATGTTATGATAGTGAAATAAATGAGAGTGAAATAAATGCTAGAGAATAGTTTAATTATTTAAACAATTTTAAAGATACATTATGCTCAAATTTGATATCAGAAAATATTGATAATTGCAACAAAAAATTTGTTAATATAAAATACACATTTTAAATACAGTCTTGACTTGACACAAAGTAAGTACAGTCCTGTATATAAAACTTCTACACACTATAGGTGGTAGCATTATGATAATGAATATAAAGTATCATTTAAAAACTGGCAGTTTTGTAAAGAAAATATATTTTTACTTGACCTACAATAGAGTATGTAGCCTCCCATACATAGTTTATTTATTATTTTACTCAAACATTATTATTAATAATTTCATTATTATACATTTTCTGATTAAGATATGTTATTCAAGGTTGAGCATAGTATATCTTTAAATCAAAATAGATTTCATTTTATGAACTTTTGCCTTTCCGGCAATCTGTACAATTTTTTTGCAACAGTTATGAAGGAGCCGACTGGAGACTTCAACATTTACAATCATGTTGTTCGGTAAAAAGCAGATTTAGGAACATTTCATGCAAAACTGAACTAAAAATGAATAAAATAGTCTTACATATGTAGAACAGTTTTTTTATGCACATGCTACAAAGGCAGCAAACAATAACATGCTAAATATAACTTTTTTCAAACAATTTTAAATATTTCCAACAAAATACCTCTTCCAGCAGATGTATAAAGAGATTGTAAAGTCCCCAAAATTGTGTCCATAATTTGAACACAATTTGGTAGGGATTTAGGGTCTTTCATAATCACCTGAATAGTTTAAAATGTAGGAAACATTTTAGGGTACCTAATTATATTGTGACAAAATGAGTAAAAAGAAAAAAATACAGTCTTAACACTAAAAAAAACCCCAGGTTTTATATACTGATTTTTTCTTGCATATCACACAGGATTTTCTTCTGTTTTTACTGGTGCTAAAAAATTCTGTCTAACACCCACATAAGCTTTGAATGACACCATTCTCAAGCACCTTTTATGAATGAATTTCATGATTTCTATGATGTCATTATGGTTATGTGATGTCATTTTGGCAAAAACTAATATGTTTATACCCTATTATAAGAAAGAAGTGCTATATGAAGATATCAATATACTTAAGTTTTTTCCAAAACATGACTTTTATGTGATATGCAAAAAGACAAAGAAACATACACTGGTTGCTGGTTACCCTTAAGCTGGATATTCCTGTCTGGACTGACTATCAGTGTAATATTAATATAATCTCACACACTTCATTTTGCTGAAATACTCTGACATTACTATAGTCTGCAATCCCTCAGACTATTGTTGATATTTCAACAGTAATTGGCTTATATAAATGTATCACTGTATAGGCTAACTGTTATCAAATATTAGCAGAAGTTATACTTTCCAATTTCAATGAGATATGTATGACCTAACAATTGTAATATTTCACTCAAAATACTGTTGATAATATAAAAAAAAACAACAAATTTTTATCAATGCTGACAAAATAAAAAATTGACAACGATTCAAAAATATGGTAGCATAAAAGTCTCAAAACTTCTATAATCTGGTACTTTTAAAAGTAAAACATGTGTCAATATTCTAGATTTATATAGATATATGAAACTGTGGTGCAATTTCAACTTTTTATAACAATGTATTTAAAGAGACACTCAAACCAACATACATGACTCATGTATGTGGGATAGTCACTTAATATCAAATTGCATTTGAAGTTGGTAAACAACATACCAACACACATAGAAGGAAATACTTTGAACATCAGTTAAAGATATACTATGCTCATATTTTGGTAAAATATTTTTATCATAGAAATGTATTGAAATCCATGAAATTCTCACTGAATATGTCTAATAAATTTGAATAATAATGTATGGGAAGGTGCATTCTCTATTACGGGTCAAGTAAAGTTGGTCTTTTCTTAAAAAAACTGTCAGTTTTTTTAATGACACTATATATCCATATGGTTTCCATCTTTGGTGATGAGAGTTAAAAACTGAGTATATCTACTTTGAATGAAGACAAAACATGTTTGTTTTATATTTACAAAGAGACTGTGTAGCAATTATCAATAGTTTCAAACAACAAATTTGAGCTTAGTGTATCTTTAAAATAATATTCTGCCTCTTTATTTGAGTGAAAGTAAATCAAGATTTCTTGTTCTCTCTTGCAGGAAACTATAAAAAGTATTTATGCAAATAATAACCAGCTATTAAATAGTAATATAAGAATACTTACAAACATAGGGTATACATCAGTTGGTTTGTCAACTACTTTTCTATACTTGTGGTTTAACACTGGGTTAACAACGGAAGAGAAGACTGATAGTGCTGGTACATCTTCTATGAGAATCTTCTGAACCAGCCAGGAGTAACACTTTCTGTTCAATCAAGACAAAATAACTTTTTTAAGTTTTTACTAAAAAGACTTCATGATTTTAAACAATACTATATTAAAGTAATCTTTCCTTCATGAACTTGGTAGTTTCTATATTTGGTTCGGCTGAATTTATTTCATTCATTTATTTATTGTATTTTTTGCAGTAATAATGTTTTGCCTATGCCTTTGCCTGATAAAATTGCCATTTAGTTTACACTTTGCTACAAACCTCAATGATGCATGTTCCTCTTTCGACAAGAAAAATGTCATTGGATCACATCCACCAATAGGAAGTGCCTTTGGTTCAAGGCTGAGGTGCTTCAGGTCTCTGGGGTTAAATCTGTCAATAATGACAGACCAGTGGGTGTAGTGAAAATCTTTGTTCCCACTTTCCAACCTCACCTGGAAGGAAATTTATACAATATTTTGTGTGTACATTTTATTTTAATACACAGTGTGTAAAAATGAATTTGTACCAGTGTCAGCATTATTTCAGTCATAAGATATAAAGACAGTTTACCCACTTACAATTTTATTGGCAAAGTCAGTCGGTCAAGCACATACATGTAACCAGTACATGAAGCCCCTATTGAAAACTACTTTTCTTAAAGCAGAAGTATGTGTATGGAGAAATTATCATAAGGATTCATACAATAAATTATTCACACACAAATCATATAGCCAAACTGGGATAAAAGCATTTATATTTTATAATAATATTTATAATAATTAGTTCTAATGTAAATGTATATAATACATTATTGGAATGGGGCAAATATAATGTACAATAAAACTATTGCAGTAATTAAAAACAGATGATACTTATGAGTTTCTATTAAAACCTGCATGTAGCAGTACATCATATATATAAACATTCCTTATATTTGTTTTTATGATGATAATTTATCATAAAGGAAATACATATATATCATATGCAGAGCTATAAGGGCATTGTTGCTTTTCTAATTATCAGTTTTTAAAATATTTTTTATAATAACCTGATTAGCTTTAATCCTTCCATCAATGTTGTCAACGGTTATCTTCAATGTTTTTCCTTGATTGAGAGCAGCAAGGACTTCTTTTCCATTGACCTTTCCAAGCTCATCCAACAGAGTCAGCTTGGTTCTTTCAGGGATGCTTAGACCCATGGTATGCATTAGCCCAAGTAACTAAAATATAACAAAATAAATAAATTGTCAGATTCAAATAAATATCTTTAAAATGCAAGACAAAGAACAAAATATTAACAAATATTTATAAAAAATAAATTACCAAAAATATGACCAAAAAAACAGGTATTTGTATCATGTATGGCATTATGATTTATAATTATAATTTATATCAAAGATATTAAAAAATTAGTTATATGTTTATATACATACCCCATTCCCTGCATTATATCTGATACACGAGGCAGCAACACATTTTTGGAATGCTATCAGCTGGCAGTTTCTGGAGTACATGGCCATAGCATACATGGCTTGGATGATATAGCTTTCTTCTGGCATTTTAAGGTGAACTGGGCATGCCATGAACATTAGAAAGTCCAAAGCTCTAGGGCAACGCTCATGCATCTCTAACAGTATGTCTTGAAAGAATGTCTCTGGTTTAATGTCTGTTACTTTTGACCTAAGGACACTTGGCTGCCTTAAGCTACAAAGCTGGTCCATTTCGACTGATATTTTGAGCAAAATAACTTGCCAAAGTTTTTCAAAAACCAAAGGGATGTTAACAATTGCTTCTAACATTTCTTCTGCGGAAATAATACCCCGTGACATGTTATCAACAGTTTGCTTCAACAATTCCTCTGACTCCTTTGATATCAGCAATGGACACAACACATTCTTCTTATGTGAATGATAAAAATTTAAGTTGTCTGGTGATTTGTTGCTTAAACTCTTGGCTGCATATGTGTGTTCAGCTTGACTGTTGTTATATACTGGTGTACTGTATAAATGATCACTTGTCACAATTTTTTCTGCAGGAGCTTTAAAACTAACAGTTTCTAAAGGGTATTCTTTACCTGTGTTGATCTTAAACAGTTGCTTCACACTTTTTCGAGGTTTGACTGGAGTTAGTCTGTTTTTTACAAACTTCTTTACTAATGGAGATACAGAATGTACTATCATACGCTTTTTCCTCTCCGTGTTATCCGCCAAGTTTTCCTTTAGGACATTTTTCATTGTGAACACTTTCTCCAAATGTTTAATACATACTTCACATATTACAAATTTGTCATTGCTTAACTCCTGTAAATCACACTCTAAGTCTAATACTTCAAAATATTTTTTAAACATGATGTTTCGCATTGCAACATTTCTAAGGTTTCTTAAATGTCCTTGAGCTTGGCTGTTGCATGTCAAACAATGTCTTACAACCTTTACTGGAGTACATTTAGCTGATGATGAAGCCATCGTGTTTTTATTTTTGTTGCTCTAAAAGTCACAAATCATGAATACTTAGGGTATTAATGCACGAATAACAATAAACGAACAATTAAATAATTTAAACATTATATTTGTAGTAAATACCACAAGGGCGTTTAAATTGAATAGTTTTTCGTTGTACAATTACATTTTACAATTGTTTTTTTTAGTCACTTCCGCGTTCAAGCCGCCATCTTAAAAGTAGTGCGTTCCCATCATGCTTAGAGTGCATTCACACAGGTCAGTAAGACCGGTGTACACAATGGAAGTACAACAACAAACCATTTACTTTATGGCAATAGAAAATGAGTGTATGAACCAACTAAATTATACATTGAACGTATATCAGTCAGATTTTCAGACTGTTAACATTTTAAGTCAATTTTCCTCGTACATTTCATGCCTCTGTTTTTGCTGTCTGGATAATCAAACTTTCCAGATTAAAAGGTCATTGCGGTGTTATTTGTCTTATGATTTGCTTCTGAAACAATCTGTTTAAAGCTTGTGGCCTACACAAAAAAGTAAGACCAGTACAAATACACTTTAATAGATATTTTACCTGACAGATATTGAAGATTAATTGTTGAAAAACTTTTCATAGACTTATAATTATTATAAACCATGACTCAAATGTTTATTTTTGATATTATATAGAAGGTTAACATTTATTACGAGTCAAGTTTTAGATTGTTACAAAAATAAAACAATTGCCTTTTTTGTGGATACATATGCATTTCCTTATATCGCCTTAAACTATTTTCGAATATAAAATCGTTAACTCTTTTCACATTTGATTTAAGATTTAATCGAGATAACATTTTGTGTTGTAATACATTTATTTTAATTATAGACTTAAGAATGGATAGATAATGTATCGTATATTGCCAAATTATTATTACGCGGTACAAAACAAAACAATATGTCTGAGTAATTTCAATGTTCAAATGCTGTGTTATTTTGCAATTTTGTTAAATACAATATTAACACTTATGTGAATAAACTAGTTCATTTCTTATAACCAAATTTCAATATACAATACATGTTGGGTGATTCGGAAATAAAGTGGGTTTCCTTTGTCATAATTATTAGTATAAACTTGTACACAGTATAGTTAGAAAAATGGTAATCAGCCACCGTTCTCTCATTATTTGTTTAAAACGCCATATGTTAAAGATAATTTGTATTATCAAAAGACAATGTACACAAACAGATAATTATTGCATATGACCGTTTTAAGGACATTTTGATATAAGTGTTACTTACTTGACAAGTATACGTGTTTCGTACAATGAACGTCTGTTCCTTAATGCATATTACACAGTAAAGTCATAAGGCGAATTGTTGTCTTAAAGAAAGTGTCCTGTTTACTCTCCAAGGACACAGACACAGGGCAAAGTATATTTATAAAAAAACATTTAACCGCAAAAAAAGTCAAATACGTTTATATTTGGCAAACACTGATATCAATATATATCAGGAGCCTTGGATGTGGGGACTTCTAGTTTAAAAAGACGCAATATTGCAGGCAGACACAACAGATCGATGTTTCCAGTCAGATATTTATCAAGGCGACATTGCAAATTATTCGAATCCGGAAAATGCGTATCTACGTTATTGTAACGCAATTGTATTGACATGAACATTGTACACAAGACGTCATAAAACTGGAACTAAATGTAGATTTTGATTAAAATCATGTTACTGCGTTGTATGTGTATGAGCTAATTAACAGGTATATAGAACAAACGTATATTTTATACTCTAGCAAAGGGATATAACAGTATGAATTTTGAGTAAGTTCGTAAGTAAACGATTATGAATAACGTCTATTAGAGAAAAAATAGTCTCTTAAGAAAGTAAAGAACGGCAAAATTGAATATGTTGTAGGCTCGGTTTGATTGAGCCTGTTAATGGTCGATAACGTCAAGTGCATTCAAACGTCCACACTACTTGCACCAGCGTAAGCACAATTTAATATTTAAACATGAACATGTAAACTTATCATCGCAGAGGTTTTCATTCGGCAAAAGAAACACATTAAAATAGATTTTAAAACAAACTGACACTATCGTTCTATCTACGTGTATATATTGCAAATTGCGCATATTAAATCTTTCTTTGGTTGAAATATTAATCTTTTCAAAAACTGACAAAATCAAAGTAAAATCAATTAAAAAATTGTTGCGATTTATTCATTACTTTTTTTAAGAAAGTCAATAAATTCCATCAAACGCGTGAATATAAATTGTTGTAATGGTTTACATTAACAGTCGAAAGTACTATTTTTACGATTGTAATAACATCATACTTTATCATGTATACTCTGTCATGGAATATCTATATCTTAACATTATTTTTTATCATATTTTATTGCATTAGCAAGTAATCAGAGAACAGTTCACGTTCCTTTGTCGGGAAAAGAGGATTAAATATTGACTTATGAGACTGCATGGAGCCATTTTGTATTGAATTACTGAGGGGATAATATTAACATGACAATTGATGCATACAAAGTAAGCTTGATGTCTAGAGTTGTTAACATTCAAGACTAATCAGCTATGCATGATTGTATCTAAGCTTTAACGAATCTTATTTAAACCAATCTACAAACCAGATGCTGTTTTCTAAGCCATTTAAGGTAGATTCCATGTATTTAATTTATTTTTAATGTTTATCTACTTTAGATAATTTGCTATATCACTTTGATAATTTAATATTTCATGTGCAATTTCCATGATAATGTACATTTATATACCGTATTACAGAACATGATGTTGTATAAATAGTTTATTGATGGTATCAATCGTTCAGCAGTTCTGTAGTGCAACGGATCCAACTTGTTTTATTTCTGAATTAAATTGTTCTGCAGTTGTTGTGTAAGATTGTTCAAGATATATCAAAATATACAAAAATATAGTCAACCAGATTTTAGTAGTATTTTAAAACGAGACTTCTACAAAGCGTCGACCAGACTCTTCGGCAATAAAGTCGCTCGGTCTAGATTCATGACGATTGTTATATAGTTTGCGCAATTGATTTTATAACATGTCTTTCATCTATAAGTTGCAATGACTTTGTAAAGTGTTTGCTCTTTAGCACCATTATGTTTTTAAACAAAATGTTGTAGTGCTTTATCTGGTGCACTAATATGGTAAGTCAACCGAGCTCCAATGTCTTTTTAAAAATTTAACATAAAATGAATAATTTAATAGGCTTGTATAAAATCGTCTTAATAGAAACATGTATCACTTTTTTGATAAAATTAATTGTTTTTTGATACTTAAGTACACTGAGAAAAATTGTATAAGGAAATTTGAGGATTATCCAATTAATTTTTAGATTTTAATGTTTGAAGAAGCTTCTACCAGCCGCCAGTACAGACCGAAATTCTGACAGTCTGTGTCTGATTCTTCTTCTTGTATTTTACATGTAAATCTTATTTGGATTTTCAACTTCGTTCATAACAGCAAAAATACGACACCCTAAGAAGCTAATTAGTTTATTTAAGGGCGCATAGGAATGATTTCATCTAAAGGACGTGACTTTTCTTGTAGACTACATGGATGCAAGACAGGTTCTTCTAGGACCGGTATAAACAGTAGATAACCCTGTCTGTTTTATACATGCACACTGTCACTGAACTATCGATGATACTCTTTGCTCTTTTGTTTGAGGTGCTTTACTTTTTTCGTTTATTCCACCAACAATATACAACCCTATTAGATGAAATTTTATGTAGACTTCTTTTCTAATAATGATGATATATTAGACGTAAAGCAGGGATTGTGGATGAATGATGACATACCGAGACTATTTATCAAGAATATGTCAGATAATCTTGTCGACTAATATGTTACATTTTCAAGTTCATTTCCAAACCAATATTTTACAATAAAGTTGTTGTCTAGTTATTTGCTATAATACAATATCTAGCATGAGCTGTCATTTCATATAAAGTTATATTAAATGAGTTTAGAAAAGGCTTGTACAGCGAGTCTATAGAGAGTTTTTAAAACAGACTCAATCAAACCGAGCATTTTGCCGTTTCTTAGCGTTCTTTATAGGAATGTCTTTTCTTTCTTATTTTATAACAATTCTTATTGACAAATAAAAAAATCTATATCAAATGCAATAAATTTTAAATGCGTTTTATTGAATGTCCAAAATGTGAATGGTACAGTTTGACGGACTTTCATGCTCAAAGTCTAACAGGCAAAACTATCTACAATTATTGCGATTCATAGTTTACTTTCAATTTGTTTTAAACCAGATTAAATTGTTTCTTATTTCTCGGAAAAAAGGATGAAAGAATAGTCAGAATATCAAGCAATTGGTTCTTGTTTGGTACCTGTTTATATTTTGTGTTTGTCTTTCTCAAAATTATAAATATGATTGTTTTTAGTTACATGAAAACACATGATAAGATTGAGAGCCGTTTAATTTTATATAAATAACAAGACATGATTATGTTTTATAATTACTGTCCTGTTTTATGTTATACATATTTTTCATAAAAATAAGCTTTTGAATTTAGAAGTTAAAAATATGTCCGGTTCAAGTAAACACATTATTTAAACCAACATTGCTAAAGTGTTTGTATAATCTACATACTAGAATGATTATATTTAAAAACTTATAATAAGTTTTGATAATGTACAATTCTTTAAATTGTAGAGTAACGCTGATGAATATTTATTTCAATATCGCATTAAATATCGGCAAAAAATCAGCGCTGTTTCTAACTGATGATGCAATCTGTCTTATATATTTCAAATAATATAAATATTTCAGAAAACACAAAATAGTTATAGCTTTCGATACCAGGAATAAATAAAGTATAATGTCATTGAGATAAATGAATAGCATATTTTTAATGATTTATGGTTAATGATGACAAAATATTATATTTTAATATACTTATCGCATTTTTTCTATTTTGTTAAATGTTGTAGTTATGAATTTTATGATAGTACAAAATTAATGTGTTTATCATCCAGGCATTTTCAAAGAACTATTCTTCATTTTTCGAAATTGTACAATTATTTTTTAAACTAAAGGCAGCAGATATGCATGTTTAAAGAGAGAGATATATTGCATAAACTAAAGGATATTTTCATTAAACGGAAAATTGAGTATGCTCAGTAATTATAGAACAGCAAATAATTCAAACAAAGGCCTTCCTTGAATATCTGACCAAAACATTTGTTTTCCGTATTCTTAAGACAACTATGAAAACATCGGAT